TAACCAAGTCATCCCTAACAAAGTTGTTGGGTAAGATGTTAGAAGTAGTGAGGAAGAGGCCAGTTGGAGGATGTTTCAGCTTAAAGAATCTATGACTCTTTCTCTCGGTGCATGAAGGACTCCCTTTTTTATAGCACATCTGTCTATGTCCACCTACCTGTGGAGTCTGTGCGAACAGCAACATATAGAGATCTTAATGACCGAGAAGAACAAAATTAGAGACACTTTTAGATGAGGAAACTTTCCATTCTTACTCTACGAGTTTCTTTTTAATTTGTATGATTTTGTGTATGTTATAAAATTAAGTTCCCAAATAAGATACATTTTGTAGGAACACACATATAAATAAAAAAATAACATTAAATACATTACAACGATTGCCTGTTGGGAGAAAAGAGGTGAGTGGAAGTAGAAAATGGAGGGGGGGTGTTGAAAATACAGTAAGATAAAAAAAGACTACTCCTGACTAATTTGAAGATTTGCAATGAAATAATAATTCTAATTTTTTAAAAATAATCATTTTACTTTGCAACTCAATAGACACAAATATTTAGGTGTAACAAATGTTTCTCAAATTATTCAGTATCTTCAGTGTTCTCTAGTCTTACTCCATTTGTTTTATAATGTTCACAACATACTCAGTTGATTTCAAATCTTCCTAGTGTCACAGGACATATAGTTGCCAAACTTTATATCACACCTCAGTGAAAACTACATGCCCTTAGGAGCACATCATCCCAGGGCACTAAATTTCTTTGAAAAAGATTCCCAAACCAGTCATACACAGAAATGTTTGCAGAGAACAGAAACAATTTGTATTTTTTTTCCACTTTATATACAGGTACATTTTTTATTAATTTCTGTTATCTTTTTTATTTTTTGGTGCTAGAAATTAAACCCGGGGCCTCCTACATTCTAAGTAGTCCATCCACAGTAAGCTACATCCCCAGCCACATTTCTTTTTTCTTCATTCTTAAAAAATTGTTGTTATTATTATTATATTAGTGCTGGGATCAAACTCAGAGTCTCATGCATGCTAGGCACACAATGAATTACAACCCTGCCTCCCTACTTCTATTGCTGATTGAAGTTTAGAACTACAGTGTAGTAGGCAAATAATGGTCCCCCAAAGATATCTGCACCCTAATCCCTGGAGCCTGTGAATTTGTTATCTGACATGGCAAAGGAGAATTAAATCCACAGATGGAATCAAGGCAGTTAATCTAGTGACCTTAGAATAGATTATCTAGGATTTTCTGGTTGGGCCCAATGTAATCACAGGGATTCTTAACAGGAGAAGGGGAATGGAAGAGATCAGGGGTGCTTCATGGGAGCAGGAATCCTCTTGTCATTGCCAGGTTTGAGATGGAAGAAGAGGAGAACAACCAAGGAATGCAGGCTGCCTCAAGGAGCTGCAAAAGCCAGGAGGTGACTTCTCCCCAGTGCTTACAGAAAGAAATGAAGCCTAAAACCTTGATTTTAACCCTGTGAAATGCATGGCAGACTTTGACCTACAGATGTGTAAGATAACTGTCTTGTACATTTAAGCCACTAAACTTGTGATGTTTCATTACAGCAGCAAATGCAAAAGTCATACACTTTATCTGTGAGCGTAATTAGAAAAACTGAATCTAAACTTGTTACAAAGCTGTTAACTACAAATCCCATCATTCTTTTTTTTTTGGTTTTTTTTTTTGGTTTTTCTCCGGTACCGGGAACCGAATTCATGACCTTGCGCTTGCCAGGCAGGTGCTTTGCCGCTGAGCTAAATCCCCAGCCCCCAATCCCATCATTCTTAATGCTGCAGAAAGAGATCAAAGTTCCAACCAGTTATTGCAAATCCTAAGTAGAGTTGCAGGGTAACAGAAAAATGAACAGTTGCAGGCACAGCTAGCTGGAGGTTAGACTGACCTCTTCCACACGCTTCCAACCCTGCCTCTCGATACACACTTCTGCTCTTTTCCTTTATGCTTTTTTAAAAATTCCAGATTCTGATTCAAAAGACATGCAGAAATCATCATTCCTGATCATATTCCAATACATAGGAGTTCACTGATGGTAAAAAACAGAGAAAGAAAAGCCCTGAGAGTTTGGTAATATTGAAATCAGCATCTCTGGACCCGCAGATCCATCTCAGACTTTCTAGAAAAATTCACATACACACCTACATTCTCAATTTTGCATGGGGGGGGGTGTTCTGGCCTCTATAATGTTTACAGATCCAAGACATAAGCAGTTCATCTAAATGGATAATTTCAAGATGTCATATTTGATTTTAGCAAGGATAATAAATGTTTTAGAAAGCATTCACATAATGGAGCATGCTAGAAATAATACTAAATATCATCTTTATTTTAATTAAATTTTCTTTGAAAGACTAATGCTATTTTTTTAATCAACAGGAACAAAAATTTTGGTGGACAAGGATGTGGGCTCTGAAATCCTACAATTGCGAGCAATGGGGGAGCAATTCCATCAGCCACACAGCTCCTAAGTGTCACTTTTAGCAGAAGCAACTTGGAAAAGTCAGACATGAAGAATGTAGCCAAGACGTCCTGAGAGAGAAGTTCCAGGTCCTTAACAAGGTAGCAGTGGGTGAAAATGGGTAATACTTTGCTAAGGATTCCCCTGCTGTTTCCAAAATGTTCATACCTACCTCTGTTTGATGATTTTGGTTTTTAATTCTTAATAGGGAGAACCCTAAAAGTTAAAACAAAAACTTGTGTGTGTCACAGCACAGATGATAGGCTGCCATGGGTAAAGCTGGTGATTCCATCTCATAAGGCCACCAAAAAGAACATGGAGTGGGGTGTTCTGGGCCTGAGTGTTATCTTCAGGGAAGCTGCTATAATTGTAATTCTTTTCCAAACTGCTTTCTTTATGATGTGATTCCCAAAATTCTAAAATTGTTTTACTTTCACCATGCTTTTAGAGTTAGCTTAATGTGTTATTCTCCATCCTTCTGTCCATTTTCCAAGAGGGAATAAAGACCAGCTAAGTTAAATAATATGCCCAAGGCATGCCAAAAATAAATGTCAGAAAAGAAACTAAGGTCTCAATGCTTTTATGAAAGAAAGCTAGTGCTTCTTTTGAAAGATGTATTTTTTAGCACTGTAGTACTTACTGTTTATTTCTTTGTTAATCCACAGCATAGTTCCCTTTATATCAGCATAACTAATAAACTCTGCTGTGTTTGAGAACGCTAAAGGATGGAATGAACCTTAACTGTGCCCATGAATTAGAGCATTTTGTGGGATGGCAAATGATGATCAAAAGATTTTTCAAATAGCTTTCATAATTCCCTGGTAAGTATCTGCCCTTTCTCAGTCTACTCATGACAGGTTAACCATGGAGACAGAGAAGCTAAGCTGGAAGAATCTAGAAAAAAGAAATGTAAAACATATGGCTACAGAAATACCCAAAACTTGTAGGATGTGTTCTAGGAACTTTGGAACAGCCCATAGTTAGAAAATCCATGTAGTATAAGAGCACCATTTCACAGCCAATAAAATAGGTAAAACAAATACCTGATGCTTGCTTTGTGTGGTTGTTCATATAATGTAGAAACAATATTTTGATTTTCCTTTAGCGCAGGTATTATGCGTTGTCCCCAGAAATGGAAATTAGAGATGGATGCATGGTTAGACTTTAAATGGAAGGGGTAGAGAGTACTCTGACAGACCCACATTTAAGGGGAAAGTTGGGAAAATGAAGCACTGTTCAAAGAAATACATAGTGAAAAGTACACTTCTAGGGGCTTTCAATCTGAAATGGGACATATTATCAGGAATCCAGGTGGAAGGCACGTGTGTAGGCTATTTATATTCAGGAGGGAGCAGAGTTACAATTCCAGGGGAAAAGATGGGGTGAAACAGAGTAACAGATGAGCTTGGTCTTGGGGAAGACTGGATATAGCTTAGGGGTTCATCTCATGGCAGAATGCAGCTTGGTATGATAACAGCTAAAGCACTATACAGCCTGGCCAACTTGGACAGTACAAGGTAAGTTATGGACCAAAACCTTCACAAACTGTAAGCTAAACAAATCTTTCCTCCTTTAACTTTGGGTGTTGGGTATGTTGCTTCTTCAATGAGAAAAGTAACAAAGACAGGCACTCGTAGGAGAGGAAGCTACTCACTCACGGTAGCCACAATTTGAAATAAAGAGAGAGAGGGTCCAAGATTCCCATATCCTGTTCAAGGGCAACCCTCCAATGACCTAATTTCCTTCTGCCTGCCCCTCCTACTAAAGGTGCTACCACATCCCAACAGTGCCTCCGGCTGGCAACCAAGACTTTAGCACATGAGTCTCTGGAGCCATTTAAGATCCGGGCCATAACAGGCTGGTACGAGGAACAGGCGCCTGCCAACCATTGGTTCATGATTGTCCCCAAATGCTTTTGCTTATAAGTAATCCTTTAGATGATGGCATTGTTGCTTTAGAGTAACCATTTGCAAACATCTATACACTCATTTAACTGGGAAGAATACTCTTTGTGAATTCCTACCAATCACCTTATTGTATTTCATTAGTATTTTAAAAGCTGGGCTTTGAGGAAAAGCTTTTTAATTTAGGTGCAAGAAAGAAGAGTTGAGAACAGTGATTCCCACAGTTTCCCACTAGGGACCCCTTTGGTCATGTCACATGTTCCATCCTTCCATTCCATCCTTGCAACCTCGATCTTAAAATACTAGTTGTAAAATGTTGATGTGTAACATCCATTTAATAAGAATTGTACTATTCTTAACCTCATCCACCCTTCACCGACTTCTGTGTGCCGAACTCCTTTGCCCTGGCAGGTTCCTATTAATTTGGTGATGCAGATAAACCTAAGCCAGGAACTCTAAATTTATAGTATACGAAACACAGTACAAGTGCCATGGTAGATGCCAGAGGCTACTGGTGAGCAGGGTAGGCATCATAGCGCACCAGGGAACCTTGGTTCCCAGAGAGCCACTCCCTTAGACAGGAAGGAACAATTCAAAAATGCCAGAGTCCCTTCTGAGAAGGGTGTAGTCAGTCTTAGCAGATATTCTGGTTAAAAAGAAACACTCCAAAACAAAACAAAACAAAAACCTTCTCAATTTCTAGGTGTTGGCTGCATTTCTTTTGAAAAGCACTGCATAGACCAAACCTAAATTTCTGCGGATAGATAGAGCCTGTGGATTAAAAATTTGAGACCCTCAGATTAGATGCCTTAACAGGAAGTCTTTACCCTAAGATCATTTATTGAAATTTGTTATCATACATGCTTTTCGTATAGAAGCTTAATATGATTTAGTAAACTGAGTAAACATTCCTTTTCTGACATAAAAATGCTAAATATCTCAGTTTTCTAAGAAATCCCAGCATTTCCTCTAAGGGAAACACAGGGTTAAAGCATCCAAGTGTTGCTCCATCAGCAGGGGAGGACTGGCTCTGTCACAGCAAAGCCATCTCCATGATGAACTAGGCGTAGTTTGTACACAGAATTAGATTCTTGCCTTGCCTCCCACCTGCACGCACACATCTCTTTCTGTACAATGAATATCAAACGCTGACCTTTTCTCTGTTAGGCCCAAAGGTCCACAGGATTTTCTCCTCAAAATCTGTTGGAGTGTAAATGTTCCCAGGAGCTATGAAGATTTGCAGATGAAAAAATTTGCCCACTCTTAGGTCCTCTGAGCTCTGCTTGTGTTGCTGAAATCCGCACCTTAATCGAGCTGATCCAAAGCCACTCTCTAATGCTGGCCTCCCGAGTAATCTAGGTAACCTGAGCTCCCCAGCTCTCTGGCCAGGCCATACAACCGGAAGGAAGCCATTTCCTTTCCCTTGGAGGTAATGCACATCAACTGGGCAGGGCCACATGTTCAAAGACTGCTGCAGCCTTGTGCATGGGGGTGACACAGGCCTAGTAGGAGCCCTTTGAAATGCCAGGGCAAGCTGCAGGCTGGCTGAGCAGGCACTCAACCATGCAACATCTGGAAGCCATTAAGGTTGGCAATTTCTGCCTGAGGGACCGAAGTGCCTTTACATTGGCAGGGCCAAGGACTTGGCTCACATTTGATCATATTTGTGAAGGGATGCTGAAGGGAATTTGAAGCAAAGGAGGTGAGCCTTTCCTCCAGGGCCCTGTTTCAGGATGGCACAGCCTGCCTGGGGAAGTCATTAGGTGCTGTGTTACAGGGCTCCCTGTCAACATTATCACACTTCTGTCTATCCAGGAATGGTGTCCACAGGATGCAGGGTCATTTGGTGAGAATTTCCTGGAGGGAAAATGGCTTGTCACAGGAAGGTATTCGAACAAGACTGATGGTACAATTTCCTTCTTATTATTCTTACTATTGGTGGTGATGAGGATTGAACACATGGCCTCATGCATTCTAAGCAAGAGCTCTACTGCTGAACTATTTTCCTAGCTCCCCATTATTATTTTTAATGTTCATACTGTTATTATTATTTTTAATGTTTAGAAAAAATACAGGCCATCATTTCTGAGGGCATTTTATTTTGATGACTTCTTTCCATTCTTTCATTGTAAAATGCATGCACAATCATCATAAAGTCACCATCAAATCATAACTTTATTTAAAAGCAAACATTACCCTTCAATGTAACTCCATATTGAATATCATTCATGAGTATGATTAAACTATTGTAAGACAGCTATGATAAAATCTTGAACAGGAAACATGTTTTTTTCTATCGAGACACAGTGTGGAGCAGAGAGTTGGCAATTAGGAGCCAAGGCTTTAGTTCCGGTCCTGCAAATTGCTCACTGAAAACACAATCTGATGGACGATCAATTAAGTTCAGGAATGACTGTGTACACTACAGCCTTAGATGTAAATAATATTTGTGTACTAACAACTCTCAGGTTAAAGAAGTTAAAACTGCATTTTGCGCTATGATTTCTAATGGGCTTTAGGTTTCTTTAGTTTAGTTGCACTAGCACAAGTTTTGTGTCCAGACTTAAGTCAAGGAAAGGGCAATGGAAAGGAGTGCCCATTTTATGTAGTCCAGATGTAACAGTGAGGAATGACTTTACAGCCAAGAGTTCTGGAAACAATTTCTAGTCTCTGGGTTTATGCCAGGGTAGGTCATTCTTGGAACCACAGTGCAGAGGTGATTTCTTGATTCCTCAATCTCAACAGATGTAGGGTGATCTTGGGGCCTATGGTTGTTCCAGCATCATTCAGATTCGTGGTTCTCTGATTATTATTGGGATAACACTTCTTCCCTTAGTAAGCCAGTTCTTCATAGTTATTTTGAAAAGCATTTCTAAAACCCAGCATAGAGGCCACGTTTTTAGCTATTCCAATGATTCCCTGAATTAAATCCCTTTCTGTTTAAAATAACTGGAATGGTGCCTCTACCCATAACTGACTGGTCCTGGTACACTGTGGTTTTCTTGGTCATGCTGCTCTGAAGAACCTTTCATGATTACGTGAATTGAGAGATATACATGTAGCCTTTCTCCTTGACCTACAACAGCTCTTGTTGGTGTTCTGGACTCAGAACCGAAGCAAGGTACCAACCAACAAACACCAAAATGCACGGATCGCCAATTGAGATTTTAGAATGAGCCTCTATTAGCTGGCCAGCGACTGACTGAGAGCCTCCATGCAGTAGGATCAGGTCAGCAGCAAACCAGGTGTGAGAGCAGCTTTTAAGCCAAAAAACCACATCCTGCTTGGCAAGTGAACTCTTTGTGAAGCAGTTTTCCGAGACACTATAGAAACTTTAGGAAACTTACAAGAAGGGAACGATACATTTCAGGGAGTTTCAGGGAGTGGCTAGAATGTGGAATGACGCAGGTGGAAAGGACAAGAGGGGGAGTAATCAGTAATTTTTCGTGTTCTTTGTCAGGCCATGCATGTCCCTTGTGAGGCCTTTACAGTTGGTAGATGTATCTTGTCCCTACTTTTCCTAACAGTAAATTCTCCTCCTAATCCATCAACTCTACTCTCTGTCTTTCAGTATCCTGGCCACATTTCCATGTCTCTGTAAAGAGCTCAGGCTGTGAAACAAAGAAGGAAAATTCCAAAATTTAAGAATTTCTGCTTACTTCAGCACTCAGCATGGTGAGTACTTGATGTGGCTGTGGGAAATCCTTCAGAGATTAATTTACAATAAACGGCAGAGCGTTCAGAGATTTAGGATTTTTCTAACATTATTGAAACAGTATTATTACTTTATGAGTTACATTGTACCTTTGACAAATTGTT